AAATATATCCCAACACGGGGAGAGATGGAATCTCGATAAACTAAAGTCCTTAGAGGATCATTCCACCCTATAGCTCACTTCATAATCATAATTAGTAAAATAAGTATGCATACAATACATAGACTCATATCATACATCATCTCAACTCGCAGGAAACTTCCAAGAAAATCATTTTTCTTTCTTAGATATCTCATCTCAAGGAGGTCCATGTCGAGATGGCTCTAAGGGAGGTTTCTATAGTATGGTCCTCTCAAGAGAATCCCTTTGTCTCTTAAGAGGTCATAATATCATACCCTCATGGAGGTCAGACTACCATGCCCATGGAAAGTTCATACATGCAATAGACTTTCAAGAGAACCTTTTTATCCCTTAGATATCTGGTCTTATGGAGGTCATACTACCATACCCATGAAAAGCATTCGCATACATACATCTATCGACTGGCCAGAGATACATCTCTAACATAAATCAACATCATAAACATAGCTAGTCATAAATTCAACATAACTTATCATCAATCATCTCACAATGCATCATAGCATGTTCTAATACTACAATGCACATTTATAACTCAAACCATTACTTCCGAAGAAGTATGGTGGAACACACAAGGGCATTAACCTCTAGGTCCAAAAATTTAACTTTTTGTAGACTTCCTCCAAGCTCTTCTCTTTCTAAAGCAATTCAATCACCAATACCACAAATGCACAACCTATTGCAACATGGTAAACAGTTACCAACAACTCATAAAAACATAAACATTAAGTCAATGACTAGAATTTTCCTCATATCTCAACATTCATAAAAGCACTATTTATCCTGTTTCATATTTTGTCTCAATATTACTGTTAATATTTTATATGAGTAACTGGATAAACCCCTTGGAATAAAATAGGTATCTCTTGAGTATCTGTGATGAGATTACGATCATGAGGATTCAATGATACTGGATATTTATTCCTAATTTTATGTTCCTAGTCTAGAGACATTGAGAATGAGGATCAGTGATCTCGGGTAAGACTAGCACGACTTATCTACTTGTATTCGGATGGAAGGTAAAGACCTCATGAGCTACAGATATGGGGATGTCTTAGCTAAAGTCGTGGGTGGACCAATAAGGGTATAGCTCGCACTGAACAGACCCACAAAAGAGACTCTATGAGGAAATCTCACAGAGAGTATCATTAGAGTAGTCTCTTTATATTTGGGTATGTCTTTCCTTAGACCAGAAGTTATTACCTAGACTGTGTTCAAGAAGGCATACTTTGACTGTATACCTCGTCTGCCTGAAACATGGAGACTCATAGGTATACTGTTGGGCTTGTCCTGAAAGAGCACAGGGAGTGATAAGCTGAAGGAATTTGTCAAACCTCTGTGAGAGATTAGGTTATCTGTAAACCGGAGAAATCAGGATGGCATTTAAAGGGACTCAAAAATCTATGCATAGTAAAAGAGATCATGAGATGATCTGCCTTTAGAGTCAGTAAATTGAAGATTCCCTATTTCGAATAAAGCTTACCCTAAACCTCAAGGGTTGATACGCTTCCTTACCCTAGGTTTTATGGAAAGGTAACCGAGACGAAAAGAAATACATACGGCAACCAAATATGTGTAATAGGATGATCAAGTCATTAATCCAACTAGCTCTGGGGCAACAAAGCATTGCTAGTGCTCTGTGTTGTCATTAAATGGGTTGTGGGCTTGTTGGGCCCGAGCCCATTTATGTCAGTTGCTATGTTGGACTTAATGGGTCACACACTAACACCTTAATGTCATGATAATATAGCATTAAAGGTATTGGGCCTAATAATGGTTGTTAGCCAAAGATGAAGTTTGGAAGCCCACCTCAGAGGGAGATGGCGCATGGTATTGTTAATGGGCTTGGATGGTCCAAGACATTACTAATTAATTTAATTAGTTAAATTAATTATCAAATATTTAAATTTTGAATTTTGAATTTTGAATTTGAAATTTGAATTTTGAAATTTGAATTTTGAATTTGAATTTTGAAATTCGAATTTTGAATTTGAAATTTGAAATTTGAAATTTGAATTTTGAATTTGAATTTTGGAATTTGAATTTTGAATTTGAAATTTGAATTTGAATTTGAAATTTGAATTTGAATTTAGAATTTAAATGTTTGAACGTTTGAATTTAAATGTTTGAATTCGAATTTGAATTGGCTATGAAAAGTTGTTTCATAATAAAAGGATAAGATGAGATCTTGTTGGAACAAATCTCTTGTATCAAGAGAAGATTTATGGAGATCTCCAAGGGCTGATTTGGGGCGCCATTTTGGTGGGAGATGATTGTCATCTTGTCAAACCAACAAGCTCCAATCAGATTTGGTTGTTGAGAGAATCAGTGAGCTAGTTGGTTCAAACTTGAATGCAACAGCTCAAATGTATCTGGACCCTTTTTGGGCTGAATAGGGGCGCATGAATTGGTGGTCATAAGATGACCATTGGTTCATAATTTTGACTAGATAAAGACATAGTCTTATGAGGATTCAAAGGGGAGGTTGATGGGATTTTTGAATTGCAACAACTCCACCTTTTTCTCACTCACTTGTGCGCCACTTTCATTATAAGTAAAGTAAAAATTCTGATTTGATACACTACTTCTCTCCCTCTCTTGTGCGCCTAGTTGGTGAGTTCTTCCTTAAGGTTTTTCAAAAGAACCTAACGAATTCTTCTATATACCATTCCCACTCTTGTGAAGTTTTCATGTTGGAGACTTCACTCTTCTAAACACATATACCTAGCCTCCCTCTTCACCTATTGAGCGCATAGCAAGCCTCTCTGTGGTGGTCAATTGGTGGCTTTCAAGAAAGTGTTCTTGCATCTTGACGTGGGTGGTGTGGATAAACGTTAGAGGGTTTGAACCCTTCAAACCTAACACTGATCGTCTTGGAGTTTTGAACTCACAAACAAAGGTAACATCACATGCCATAAAGCATGATTCTTGATTGCATGTGTAATTCCGCATATGAAAAACTTTATTTTTCCCTCTCACATGCTACGGCCTTCAAGGCCATTTTACTTTCAGTTTTTATCAGTGTGTAAATTTTAATAAATATTATTATTACAAAATTTATTTAATGATAGTATTTTTCATAAAAATGTTTGTCTTTTTGTTATCTTTAGTTCAACCTTAAGTTGCAATCATAGTGAATTAACCATTATAAAACAACCATAGATGTTGCAATTTGACTGGTAAAAAAATTAATTTATTGCATTTTAAATAAAAATTACAAAATTTATGGCTGTTTTGAAAATATTTACTCATTTATTGCACAATGCCACGCCCAATTTGGGCGTCACATATCACGCCCCATTTAGGCGTGACACCCACGTGGATCACGCCTAAATGGGGCGTGACATGTGCTGCCCAAATTGGGCGTGACACATGCAGACATGCTACCTCCCCAAGGCGTGAATGATGCAAAAAAGTCTATATAAACCCTTATCACTCTATACACTCTTCACAAGTCTTCTCTTCCATCAGTTCTTACATTACATACATAATTATTATCTTAAATTTAGTCTTTATTTTATTTGTTATTCCATTTTCAAATGAGTTCACATTCTGATTCTGTTCGTGTTGTGTTATATTACAATGGTAGGAAGGTGGAAGGCCGATGAGGTGTCATGTTATAAGGTGAAAAAGTCCGACACATAACCAACGCAACGCAACCATTGACGAACTGCATCAAATAATTCGTCAGAAGTTAACTCTTCAAGGTAACCAATATATCACTCAGATCACCACAAGGTTATGGCAATATGATCAATACATTAGTTTGCAAGTGGTTGATAATGAAGACGTTGAGATGATAATGGAAGAGTTTTTCAACCAGTCAAGGAAAGATTTTCTGGAGTTGTATGTGGACATTGCAGGAGCAGAAGATGTAGCCTTACCGGTGAGGTCAGTTGCTTTAAATTCTCCACGTCTTGCATCAACGTCCGCTGCGCATGCTTCTCTAGTTGCTAACATTTCTTAGGGAGATGAAAATGATCCTACTTGGGTTATGCATGACGACGACGGCGACGATGATGATGAAAATATCGCAATGGAAGAACGTCTTTTGGCCGAGGATGCTAGTGCTTCTAAAGGAGATGACGATGGTGACAGGGGCGCGTCTCAAATCCCAGTATACCATGCACCAGTGGGGTCTCAAATCTCGTAGCTTAATGACATAGGCTCCGCATAATTAGCAGAACATCATCAAGGTATTTTACAGAATAACTCGTATGTGATTTAGGGTGTTTGAATAATGTATTAACAAGTTTTAATTCCTATATTCAGGTGACGATGCTGTTATTCCTTTTTGGGAAGGAATTACACTTTACACACATATTGATTGGAGTTATCGGAGCGAACAAGAATCATGCATTGATGGTTCGATTTCGGGATCGGGATCAATACAAGGTCCGTGGCAACTGGATGACAAGTTATTTGTGAACCAGGAATTTGCAACGAAAAAGGAGTTTCAAATGGCACTGAAGCTCAACCTCATGAGGGAGCATCAAGATGCAATTGTAATTGAGAGCACGCCTGCAAAGTTAAGCATGAAATATTGCGCGTATGATAAGGGTTTCCCGTGGCGCGTTAGAGCGATAAAACCAGTGTTTGGTGAAAATTGGAAGATTACCAGATGGGGTGAGGATCACAATTGTTTGAATGACCATATTTCTCAGGGTCATAGACAGCTCGATGTTGAAGTCATTGCGGAGCTCGTTCTAGGTACGTGTTCTGTCTTAATATGTATGCAACTTTGAAAAAAGTGTTACAACCTATATATTTTATACTTAATGTGTATGTAACATCCTCATTGTTAGGGATGATAAGGGAAGAACCATCAGTCTCAATTGCACTGGTTCAGGAAATGATCACATCTAAATATGGATTCAAAGTTTTATACAGAAATGCATGGTATGCGAAGACTGGAGAAGAATGTGGCACCCATCCATGTCAGATCTACCGGCATCTGTACACTCTCACAAATTCCTGAACAAGTGTACCAGAACTGCAGATCCCCAACTATATGGGCCAATGTCATCAAATCCTCCCCCAAGCAACGGGAGTAGTCGACAACCCATGTTGCTACCTCCAGACCTGTCGCACAATAGCCAACACCCTAGCATACGGGCAATATGCGCCCTCGTGAAAAAAATCTCTCGATCATGATCCTCAGCTGCATCACTCCATTGGGCCCACAACCGATCGAAGAATGAGATGCGTAGGTCGCCTGTGCCACGAAACTCACTGACCCGAGGCCTGGCACCAAAAATAGCCTCACAAACGGCAGGCCAATTCTCGGATGTAGATCCGGTAACAACTTGCTCGTCACTAGGCAATCCCAGTATACCGGCCACATCCTGCAAGGTGATACTCATCTCACCCTGTGTCATATGAAAAGTATGTGTCTCTGGTCTCCACCTCTCGACCAGAGCACTAATCAATGTGGCATCAATCTGAAATACATTATACAACCATCAAACGATATGTCATTGTATTGAATAACTATATAAATTATTACATCGTCAAGTGCATACCTGAATATGTGGCATCGTGCAACATGTATAAATCCAGCCTGTGTGAGGTAATCGGCGACCACATCTCGAATAGTGCTGGCAGGTGGCCCCCTGTACCTTACCACGTCAGGTCTTCAACTGACGAACATGTTCCGTATTCCACACCCGCTGTAAAATATGGGCACTCTGCGTCCTCTTCCGAAGGACCTCCCACCTATACAGCCCAGATATGATCTATATACTAGGATTGGTAGGCTCTGGCTCGTGATCAGATGCAGAACCCCCAGATGATGATGAATCAGCCATGATTAAAAACTATACAAAGTTGATAATTTATTGTAACCGTTAATTTATAATAAAATTATGCATACAAGTGTAAATAAACATTGAAAATAATTTACAAAACAACAACTTACAACATGTAACCGCAACATTTATTTAAAAATTGATTAATCAAATTCCTAATTCCCTATCAAAATTAGTAAGCAAAAACCCTAAATCACTAATTCATTCGTAACTACATAATATTATCGTGCATAGGTCATTAATTCATTCGTAAGTAATTAATTCGTACAAATTATCACATCATGTTCCTAACAATTTTATAATCAAGTATATTAATTCATTATTAAATAATAATAATACCTAGGTCACTAATTAATTCATAATGAAATAATAATAATACCTAGGTCACTAATTAATTCATAATTAAATAATAATAATAATGCCTAGGTAACTATAATATTCCTAAGTAACTACAACATTCATAACTCACTACAAAATTTCTAAGTCACCACAACAATTTTCTAAGTCACTAATATACACTAAACCCTAACATATTCCTAATGTAGCACTATAATTTAAACGTATATGTAGCAGGTATTGACAAACTTACTTTTGTTAGCAGAGCTTCGCTACACAAATTTCCATGTAAGGTAGAGAGCACAATCGTCTTAGAGAGAGGTTAGAGAGAGAGTGTGAAATGGTAAAAAAGGGAAAATGGAGTTTATATAGGCTGCATGGGTCACACCCTTTCTGGGCATCACATGTCACGCCTGGTTTGGGCGTGACCCACCAGGAAGTGACGCCATCTTTGGGCGTGACATGGGCGTGACATTATGCAATAAATGCGTAAATATTTTTAAAACAACCATAAATTTGTAATTTTTTATTTAAAATGCAATAAATTAATTTTTTTTTGCCCAATTTGACTACAACATTTTCAAATATAAAGTCAAATGTGTTGTATATAACATATATGACACTAAAGTCATGAATATATTGGTGAAGAAATGATTTGATATATATAATATAAAAATAACAAGTGAAATTGAAAAAAAAAATAAAAAAATTGACCCACCCGGTCCCTAACCCGCTTACATGTGGGGCAGGTTGTGTTAGATTAGCGAGTTAAAATATACAACCCGTTGCATCCTTTTTTGGCCATTGGCTGTTAGACCCGTTGGGTTTAACCCATTTTGATCAAGTTGTTAAACTTTAAAAATTTAAATTCTTAAAAATCAAATTTGAAAAAATATATTTGAAAGAAAAAAAACAATCCTGAGGAGCACGTATGCCCATTTGTCATTATTACCATAATAGAATGCCACTTTTCTAAAACCTTGAGACTTGCTTCCATGCAAGTTTTTTCCCCATCAGATGATACATATACTCTCCCGATGCCCCTACCACTATGTGAAAAAAAAATGAAAAATCACTTCCTAGTGCTGCAGCTTCATTCATCACCTCATCCCATGCCATTGTTGCCTCAGATGGATTGCTCTATTCAACTGCTTCAACAACCTTTCTCTTCCTTGCCATTTTTCTTTTCCCTCCTTAATTTTCTTAAGCTTATAAGAGTGATTATTTTAAGCTACCGAAGCTTGGTTGTTATGGTTTTCTTTGTGCTGGTTTGGACATTTATATGGAGGAAGGGTAGTTAGTGAGCTTTGAAAAAATTCAGTTTTTAGAGCTGAACAGGTCAAAAGTTCTTACTGATTAGCTCCATATATTTGTGTCTTTAACATTTAGGCTTCATATCTGATCATTTGGCGGTTTCTCGGACTTTTTAATTGGTGCAACTTATTGGACCTAGACAAAGGGTATTCATATTACTCTTTTTCTGTGATCTTATTTGAAAATTTAACCATATTTTATACCATGGTGCAATCTTGAATTGGTTAATGAAACTGCTTTCAATCCTTATGTGGTAGAAAAATTAAATAACTTTTCTTTGTTAAAAAAATTATATTCCTTTATTTATTCAACAAATATCAAATTTATTACATAATTTATATATTTTAAAACAAATAAATAATCAAATTACATGAGTTTAAAAATCAAATCAATAACTATAAAAAAAATCAAATCAAAAACAAGTTTTGAAACTAAGTCAAAAGCGGGTCAGGTCGGATTCGATTCGATTTTGAAACCAAGTCAGACCCACTTCAGAAATTAAGTCAGGTTAGATTTGACCCAGTTCTAAACCAGTTCAAAAAAATTCAAACCGGGTGAGTGTTAACTCTCCCAAATGAGAGTTAAATTGGTATTTTTATGATGAATTTACTGCATAAATTTCATATAAGTTGTCTTGTTTGCGTGATAATTGAGCTAAATATTGCATATTCATGATTAAGTGCTTTGAGATGACTAAGTATGGAAAATGAGACAATATTCCTTGATTTTGTGTAAGAAAAGATGACTTGTTGAGTGTTTGTCTTTGCAGGAAAAATTGACGTCATAATGTTGTAGCAGAGAAGCTGACGAAGTAATGATAAAGCAATCGGTACAACATGACAGCGTGGACAAGGGAACAACTGAAATTTCAAAATTCAAAAGTTAGTTATTCCCCAACAAATGGATAAAACACCAGCAAGAAAGGATCAATGACGTTTTTAAAGATTAATTCTTATCCTAAAATTACAAGGATCAAGGACAACTAGTCAACAACAATATTGGCACAAGAAAATCAAGAAGATCAAGATCTTATCCAATCAAGTGCCAACAGCCCAAGAATTTAGGGATAAGATAAGGCTGCAGCAACACGATTCATGGAATCTCACTCCCAAACCTAAGACCCAATTAACTAACCACTTTTTCCTATTTAAAGAGGACTACATTATGAATTTAGAAGGATGGGAAGAATATAGTACCCCACACCACTTTTTAGAGAGAGAAAGTAAGATTCTTGGAGGAGGAAGAGCTGCTGGAGCAAGACTGTGACATTTTACAACAGCATTCGTTTTCATCTTCTTTTCTGTTTTTCAATGAGTTCCTTCTTCCTCTTCTCTGTTTTATTTAATTCCATTATGAGCTAAATTGCTCTATAGGTTAGCTGATAAAGTACTTATGTGGTAACATTGAGATGTATGCCTAAACTTTGTTTTTATTAATGTTTAATTAGTTTTTCAACGAGTTTGCTTATTCTTATTCATGTGTGTATGTCGAGAGATACAAATGTGATATTGAGGAGGTTGGGGCCGAGAGGTTTCCGAATCCAGGCCCTTGTTGAATTGTGTGGATTAATTAGGTTAAGAAGAATAACTTGATTAAGTTGTGGGTAAAGAGATCATTCACACCACATAGCCTTCGAACTTCAACTTTAACAACTCAGTAATTAGTCTGGCCATAGAGATGTGAGAATTAGTTATTGGGTATATATGTTAGGTTGGCCAAAAGCCTCAGCATACCTTAGTGTTCGGTTACTAATTAAGCATTGATTGAGCATCGTTATAGCATCGTTTCACTATTGTTGTATCAGGAAAATTGAACCTGACCTATATCTCATTCATAACTTTAATACCTTAATTAATTTACTGTTTTCTTAGTTTAATTATCTTTTAATTTACAAACCCAATCATAAAAATAATCCTTTTCTAGTATCTTTACTTAAATAATCATTGCTTTATAAATCATCTTCGTGGGAATGATACTTGAACTCACACATCCCTTTATTACTTGTGACACGTGCACTTGCGTATTTGTGTGATTGATTTAATTGATTGCAATTTGCACAACAGTCAGACCTGACTTGGATCAAATTAAACTGGATCGGGTCAAAATACCTGACCTATAAAACCAAGTTGGGTCGGGTCGGCACAAAAACCCGACCCTACCTGACCCATGCACAACCCTAATGACAGTTTAAGTAGGAAACGAGTTAAAAATTATTGAATTTACTTTTGAAGAAAATAAAAAATAATTATCAATATTCACATATTAGATTTGCCAAAAATCATTTTTAAAGCAAATAAAAAGCAAGGATAGGTGGCAAAATGGGTCTAACCGGTCAACTTAACTTGTCGACTCACCACCACACCACATATGGCAGGTTGAGTAGAGGCTTCGAACTTGCCAACCTATTTAAAATTATTCCGCTTAAATGTAGGTCAAAACAAGTTGAACTCGCCGCTGAACAAGTTAACCTATTAGTCTTTTTTTTTGGAAAAAAATAAACATTAGATATGACCATTTTTTTATTCTCTAGTCTTGTTTGGATACCATTTATTTATCTTGGTAACACAACTTTTTTTTGTATTTTTTTGCCAACTTTAAAATATAAGCGGGTTAGGAAGTCATGTGAGTTGAAATTTTTAACACACTTTAGAAAATGAAGAAGGACAAATTGACTCGTTTTGGGACAAAGTGGAAGGAAGGATGGGATGAGTTGCCACTTTACCACTGCCAACAAAGGGTGGCGAAAATGGATAGCATTGAGTGAGGGAGTGGTCGAAGGACGTGGTCCCTTAGGGCTTGGTCATGGACGAAAGTATTGGCACACCTTAGTGAAGGCAAGAGACAAAACTTATTGAATAACAAAAGACGAAAGGAATTGTGAAATATTCAGTAGTATTGAATTGATACAAGAGGTACAATATATATTGACAAACTAATGGGCTTAACCCAGACCTAAAGTATCAGCGTAAAGTTGGAGAATAGCAACGGTAACCCTTTTGAGGCCGAGGATAACCCAGAAAAACACATTTATGAGAATTGAGAGCTAGTTTATCCAAGTCTGGACCAAGATGATGAACAAA